TTTTATCCTAATTGTTTATATTTTGTGCAGTTTGTCTTAATTATGGGTGTGAGTACATTGTTCTTAGCAAGTTTTAAAAATACTCCAGTTAATTTATTTATAAATTAGTCGATAATTTTTAAATAATCAGTTTGATCATTTCAGCCGTTTATTCCGTTTTTTTTTTTTTTTTTTTGGCCAAATGTTGGTTCTGCCACCAGAAAAGTGAGGATTTGTGGTCGGTCTCTAATTTTAAATGTTTATGTCGCTTCGTCTCGTCAGGTTAGCAGCCGGCCTCCCCCCTCCCCCACCTGTTTCTGCTTGTGCTTCAGTTTCTCTTTAATTCCTGTCGGTCTTCAGGGTTTGTTGATCTCATCTCATCATTTTGGCTGCAGTCGTCTGCAGAGACTCACTGTCTGGAGGAGGGATGGAGGAGGATGGAGGAGGATGGAGGAGGACGGAGGGATGCAGGAGGATGCAGGAGGATGGAGGAGGATGGAGGAGGATGGAGGAGGGAGAAGTGACTTTAAATTGGTCTCATTTGTCTCTGCAGCCAGCCGTCCCTCCATCTCCCCATGGGCCTCTTTTCATCCTCTCCATCCTCTTCTCCTCATCCCTCCATCCTCTCCTCTTCTCACCGGCTGCTCTGCCCTCTTGGTGGCTGTATTTTGCCGGTAGACGGATGGCCGCTGTCTCTGCCGAGGCGAACGGACCGCGGCTCCTGGCTTTAGGATCGTTATGAACCTGACCTCCCTGATCCGGAGCAGCAGAACCTGCTGGTTCTGAAGCTTCTTTACTGACCTGAGCAAATAAACATTATGAATCGGAGAGGAGTTATAATTAGAAAGTTTGTCTTTTTGTTTTTCCTCTTTTTAAAGGGACAGTTTTCCAGCCACACAGAGACATTTTATAACATTATCAAGTAACTATATTAGCTTAAACTGTTGCATATAAATCAAATACGACTTAAAAGAAATTTGACTTTGTAATTTAATGCCTTGAAATTGGATCTCTGTCTCTTTAAGAAGTGGCTGGTCTTTCTGAAGCTCCGCCTCCAGGAAGTCATCATTAATCTTTTACAACGTTTAGCCTACGTTGCTTTGAAGCTCCTATAACGAGCTCAGCAGCTCCACCAGAGGTTTGCTAATCGCTGCTGGCTAGTCTGAGGAGCTGGGGGAGGAGCTGTGCCTGGAAGGAGGGACTAGGTCCACCCAGGCGTTTTGCACAGTTGAATGGTTTCCATGGAGATTATAGGATTTCTCAAACATGCATTAATTTATTCTGTCATAAACATGTTTTTTTAGAAACTGTTATTAGTTAAATGAATAATTAGTATTTCAGTTTGGGAAGACGTTGTGCTGTGATGACGGTAGAAGTGGACTCGGTTTGAAGCTGGTGGAGCTTCAGCAGCGGTTATGTCTGCAGAAACGTGCGGTCGGGATGAGCAGCAGCAGATTTATGATCCATCATGTCTGTTTCCTCCAGGCCATGAAAGCAGCAGCCGGATCCATAACCGTTATTCATTCCTTCATTTGTTTGGCTTATTAACTCTCAGCTGTTTCAGTTTTATTTGTTTGGACTAAATATCATAAACTCTCTCTGCTTATAAGCGCTGTGACCTGTCACCTTCGTCTTAATAAAGCAGCAGGATGATGATGGTGATGATGATGGGTATGAAGGTCAGACTGAGGCAGGTTTTGGAGCCTGTTTATCTAAAGAAACGATCTCAGCCTTCATAATGTCATCAGTGAAACCAGCTGATCTCTTATCAACTCAAAGTTTTGTTGTTTTGTCCCACGTAAATCATCGTTCCTAAATCTTCATGGACGCCCTGATGTCTCCTCTGCAGCAGCTGGACGGACGTCCGTCCTCCGAGCCGTTTGGGTTGTTCTGGTCCTGTCGGAGGTATTAACCAGCAGGGAGGGAGCCGCGTTTAATCTTTTAGATTATGTGCCTCTGGTGGTTCGGGTGTAGATTAAAGCTCTGCTGGAGCTTTTCACTGAGCTGAAGTGTTTATTTAAAACTGGTTTCTACCAGGAACAAACTGCTGGAAACATTTTACTCTGGATGTGAGGAGGTCACAGAGTTTTAGTCTTTGTTTTATTCTGACCTGTGGAGCATCCAAAGAAAAGATCCAACTCAGATTCGAAAGGTTGAAACAAAACCCGACAAAGAGTGATTTTGTTTTTTTTTTTTTTTTTTTTTTTGCTTTGTTTGGGTGTAAACATCACAAACTGGCAATTTGAAAATTACACTTTAAGCTGCAGAGTTTTTGTTGTGGTTGTTTTTGTTGTGGTTGTTGCCAAACACTGCTAATGTGTGAACATTGTGTTTTAGTGTCTGCGCTTTAGGTACAATTTAAATTTACTCTGGGAAAGAGGAACTCTTTCTAAACCCTTTGAGGTTTTGGATAAATAATTTGGTTTTGGGTGTAAAAGTTCATGAGCTGTTCAGGTTGAGACCAGATGCATTTCCAGCATCGATAAAATAAACCTTCAATGATTATTTACACACATTAAGGAAAAACATCTCAGCCCTGAACATGTTTCAAAGCAGGTCAATGTTAATTTTTCAGATGGTCAGGAATTAAAACTTGAGGTTTGTTTCAGTCGTTAATTAAACTTAATGCTCCTGTTTCCTCCCGGATGTGAATCAGTCGCCATCAGATATGAACGTTTGTCATCGTTTGTTTACCGTTTGCATCTGATTTGCATGGAAACCCGGCCGCTCTGCGTCAGGTGAGGCCCTCCTGAAGCCTCTCCGGTTCCACAGTTTCCCTTCGCCTCGTTGGGTCACATTTTCCTGTGAACAACGCGGCCGGTAACCCGAGCCGCCGCGGCCGGGCCGGCACCGCAGAGGCTCGTCTTCGCCTCACTGTGAGGTAACTCCAGGTGATCGGAGTCACACGGCTGAAGCCGATTGGCTGAGCCTGCCGTCCGTCACACAGGTGCAGCCGGACCGGCAGCAGAGTCTGAAGGTGTGGCAGATGGACACATGGTCTCACCTGGGGAGGCAGAAACGCAGATCTGCATGTTTTACATGTTGGCGTCTTCTGAAGATCTGGAGCAGAATTGTTTTGACCTGAGGAGTAAAACTTCCTCCCATCATGCCGTCTCTCTGTGACGTTCTGAGGAGATACAGGCAGGTTCCTCAAACCGAGGCGGACGGAGCGTTCAACTACAACCGGGCCTCAAACAGACGAGGATTCCCGAATGCCGGTAGGTCCGGAGATCCTGGAAGGTGGGTGTGATGCCAGGCGTCTTTGAGCGTCTCCTGGATCAGATGATTAAGTCATGAAGGAGGTGATTCATGTGTTCATGAATCTAAAGGTTACACCGTTAAACAGCCCAGAGTTAAAGCTTCAGATGACGAGTCGATACTTCAGCTCAACAGAAATGATTCAACTCAGTCGGACTAAAAACCAAACTATGAATTCTCCAGACGTGAACCAAACCGTGAGGAATCGTCTGTTCAGTCGGTGAACCTTTTACCTCAGAGGTTCCTGAATGAAAACTCCTCACTGGGTCGTTTATTCAGCCCATCTGGTCTCCAGCTGGTGACTGGATGAAGGACGAAGAGGTCGTCTGTTTGGACCCTAAAGTTCAAAGGTCACGGGCGAGTTTTATTTGTTTAAAGCCGTTAATTCAACTCTGATGGATGCTGTGTGTGAATGTTTAAAACAAAGCCATAAAGCTCTGCCATCTGTAAAGAAAAATATTCAGTTTGTGTAAATCTTGAGCTAATTAAAGCCTCTGACCTCTGCAGCTGAATTCAAATAGGATTCAGTTTCTTCTTCTACATATTTAACATTAAAGACAAACAACCAGCTGGTCAGAATCGTTCAAACTGGTTCTGTTTGGTTTTTAGTCCTTTCTGTTGGGTTTTTATTCATGAGTCGTTGGGTTACGTTGGTGACCTTCTCAGGTCAGAGCCGCGTCTGAACGTGTGACTTATTTTACGTTTTGGTGCGTTTCCCCCTGACCGCTGCAGATGTTTGTATCCTCGCTGCGCTGCGGTGATGGATCTGATCGGCTGTAATCGCCTTCCCTCGGCCGGCCGAGTGAAGCTCGTCGGTGTAATTCATCAGTCTTCTGCTGCGCGTCGGGATTATGCCGTCCTCTCCTTGCAGGTTCGTCAGCGGACACTAAACCTGATGCATTGCCTCAGTTACCGTATCGAAGGCATGAAGCTCTCAGCCAGAATAAACTTAAACGTTGTTCATTTTCTGCTGCTGGCGCCGCCTGAGAAACAAACAACTGAATCCAGTCGTTTATTTTCATTCAGCTCCCAGTTACAGTCAGAAGGTCGGATCTTCATCATAAACGCCGAACGGGTTCAGATTACTGACAGTAATGTTGGCCGGAAAAATGTGATTTACTTAAAATCCTTGGGAAAATTTCCACTAACATTTTTCAAGTGGATATTGGTGCTTTACTTGTTTATATCTAGTAAATTATATTAATCGCACAACTAAGGATTTTAGAATAAATTAGATCAATTTAACTTGGGTCTTGTTACATGCACTTAATCAAAATACGTAAAATCAATTAACTTTTTTTCACAAAATATCAATTGCAGTCAAATATTAAGTAAATATTTTACCTTGTTTGTATTTAGATGTTTTATTTTAAAGATTAGTAAATCTAACTGAATTTCTGGTAACACTTTATTTGAAGGGAGGTGAATAAGACTGACATGACACTGTAATAAACATGTCATAACACCTGTCATAAACATGAATAAGCCTTCATGAATATTTATGACTGTTGTCATAAAGCGTCATTCGGTAAATTATGACACTTTTAATACAAAGTTGACATTATTCAAAATGCCTTTGTTATGACAATTTGACATTAACCAGGAAATCATTACTGTTTAAACTTTACCTTTAATAACATAAAGTTACCTAATTTTTAAAGTGCAATCATTAATACTTTTATAACAAATTTATATCAGTAATGATTTCTTGTTTAATGTAAAGTTGTCATAACAAAGACATTTTGAATAATGTCAACTTTGTATCATGACAGGTGTTATGTAATGTTTATGAAGGTGTCATGACGGTCTTATTCAACCCCCTTCAAATAAAGTGTTACCGATTTTTTTTATTTTACCAGATAATAGAATTAAGACATATCAGTTTCCATATAAATTAGAATTAATTTTTACACATAAAATAACAATGGTTGAAGTCAGACGTTTGTAAGAGAAGCAAAGTTTCAGTTTAGTATCCTTTACAAAACCAGTTTGGATTCTTTAAACCAACCAGTTCAAATGGACTCGATCAGCGTTGCCAGGGCAACGGATCAGATGTGAAATAAATGATCCCATAATCTTGTTGATCGAAACGTCAAGCTGCAGTTTTGGAGCTGCAGCTTGACGTTGTTTTATTCTAGCTTGATGTTGTCTTCCGCTAGCTTGACGTTGTGTTATGCTAGCTTGACGTTGTCTTGCGCTAGCTTGATGTTGTCTTGCTCTCGCTTGACGTTGTTTTGTTAGCTTGACGTTGTTTTATGCTAGCTTGATGTCTTGCGCTCGCTTGACGTTGTTTTATGCTATATTGACGTTGTCTTGCGATAGCTTGACGTTGTCTTGCGCTAGCTTGACGTTGTCTTGCGCTAGCTTGACGTTGATTTGCGCCAGCGTGACGTTGATTTGCGCCAGCGTGACGTTGATTTGCGCTAGCTTGACCTTGTTTTGCGCTAGGTTGACGCTGTCTTGCGCTAGGTTGACGTTGTCTTGCGCTAGCTTGACGTTGTCTTGCGCTAGTTTGACGTCGATTTGCGCTAGCTTCTCGTCGATTTGCGCTAGCTTGTCGTCGGATTGCGCTAGCTTGTCGTCGGATTGCGCTAGCTTGACGTCGATTTGCGCTAGCTTTACGTTGTTCTCCGCTAGGTTGACGTTAGCCCCTCCATGGCAGTAAAACCTCCCAGATGCTTCCATCTCAGCCTCTGCAGGAGCCTGATCATGTCTGACAGGAATTTACAGTTTCAGGTCAAAACCTATAAATAAGCTTATGAATATTTAACATTTCTCTCTGCTTCAGGCTTCTGATGTCCAGACTTTAACTTCCTGCTGAAATCCCGTCGGTGTTGATGTAGTGTTGACGCCCGGCTGCTGCCAGTCATGAACAAGCTCTGCTCCGGCAGTTCTGCCGAAACGGGTTTTTTATGAAGTCGCCTTTAACGAAGCTTTTCTGGAGCAGAAAGTCGCTGAGCGCCTGCTGGGAATCGAAGCAGAGCGATTCTTTTCTCCCGCCTGGCGGCAGAAATCCGTTTCTTCCTGTTTGGTATTCGGGTCTGGGGTTGAATCGATTCATCTGTTGAGCTGAGCTCACCTCATCGAGCCGCTGTTGACCTTTGACACTCTGAGCTCACCTGACTCACCTGGTTCAGGTTGTTAAACGCTGTGTGTGTGTGTGTGTGTGTGTGTGTGTGTGTGTGTGTGTGTGTGTTGTTACTGGAGTCCACTCAGTTGTTCTCACTAGAAGAGAGGAGGAATCGCTGCACAAAGCAGATTGATTTAGTTTTAAAAGTTTCTGGATCTTTGATTTCAGAAAACATTCAGGAATGAAAATAATTTTTAAAATGTCTGTGGACATATTTCAAATTTTACCCTTTCTAGCTCTTTTTCAGCTCAACCACCTTTATTTATTCATTTTTTCTCTTTTAATTTATTTATTTTGCCGCCAGCATCCATCCAAGCGTCTATTTATTTTCTAACTGTTATATATCCTTCCAGTATTTATTTTTATTTGACAGCCCCAAAGAAAATTGTATTTATGTCCAGCATAAAAACTCCAGAGTTCATGAATTTGTTCTCCATACATATTTTTATTTCTATATTTTCATGTTCGTACTTTATTTTATTTATTAATGCCTTAAAGCCCAATTATTTATATCTGTGTATTTATTTTTCCTCTCACGATTTATTTATTTAACATCCCCAAAGCAAAATGTATTTCCTTATTGATTTACTTATTGATGTAAGTAAATCAGGTTACCGTATGGTAATGATTAGAATCTGTCTGTGGTTCGGTCAGAACCTGTCTGGGTTCTGCCTCGGCCTCCAGCCGACCCGCCGCCGACCCGATCTTCCTCGCCGTGACTCTGACTCATCGTCTTATTGACTCACTGAAGCTGGTTTGTGTTTGAAGACGGGTGGCGGCTGGATGCAGAGGAAGTCGGGCTGTTGTGTGGCTGAATCATGCTGGGCCGGCGGATCCAGAACCGGTTTTGGTTCTGGAGGTTTTTAAGCTGCAGCAGGTTCTGGTGGTTCTGACCCGACATGTTTGTCTCGTTTCCCAGGAGTGTGTGGCTGCTGCGGGCCCCTGAGGCCCCGGTACAAGCGTCTGGTGGACAACATCTTCCCTCTGGATCCCAAAGTGAGTCCAACAGGGTTCAGCACCGGGGGTCCAAACTGAGGCCCGCGGGCCAGAAGTGGCCCTGTAAATGATTGTGTCAGGCCCCTGACCAGAAGTTAAGACTGGTAAAAATGTTTGGCCAATGAAATGGAAATCAGTTGATGACACAACGGATAATAAGTCTGAAGGAGTTTTTTATGTTTTGGATTTTAATGATATGCAGATTTAATTAAAATTTGGTTTAATTTTTGAGCAGCTAAAAACTGAAGAATAGGAAAAAAATTCACAATTAACACATTTTTGCTTTGTAATGAGTTTTGTGGCCTGTCAGTGGTTTTATTTTTCCGTCCATCGGGGCATAAAGTTTGGACACCTCTGCTTCAAAGCTGCAGAGTGTAACTTTTATAAAACAGTTTTTAGAGATTTGTTGATCATCATGTTATGAGACAGATAATCTGTGAAAAAGTCAAGCTTCTCTGCCTTCTCCCAGAGAACCAATCAGAGCCAGGAGGCGGTTCTTGGTGCTGTCAATCATCCCCCTGGCTAGCAGTCTGCCATAAATGCTAAGGCTATTTAGCATAGCCACCGATGACATTTGATGAACAACTTTTCTGAAACATTAAGTTGTTTCTCCTCCTTCAGCGCATTTAGTAGCGTGTTCCCAGTATTGATTGACAGCACTAAGCCCCTCCTCCTGGCTCTGATTGGTTGTTTCTGGTGCATTTCTTCAGCTGGGACATTAGCTCCGGGAGGAGGAGGTTGATGTTTTCACAGATTCTGTCTCATGCCGTCTGCTCATAGCTACAGATTTAACAAATATGTACAAAACATTTTGTTTTTATGAAAGTCGCGTACTGCAGCTTTAACGTTTTAATCTGTTTTATTATGAATTAGACGTTAAGTTTAGGTTAAAGCTAATGAAATAAAAACCATGGAGACGTCAGGCGGTAGATCTGAGCGTCGTCAGTTAATCTCTGACGGTCTGATCTGGGAGGAACGTTCTGAGTCCGGACCGCGCAGACCCGTTTTCTCCGCTCTGCTTCTGCCAGGATGGCCTCAGCAAGTCGGACATGGAGAAGCTGACGTTCTACGCCGTGTCGGCGCCGGAGAAGCTGGACCGGATCGGGGCGTACCTCGCTGACCGGCTGAGCAGAGACGTGGTGCGGCATCGCTACGGGTGAGGAGCCGGTCCGAACGGAGCCGGACCAGAACCTGGAGTCTGGGTCTGACGGCGGCCATGTTGCCTGCAGGTACGTGGTGATCGCCATGGAGGCGCTGGACCAGCTGCTGATGGCGTGCCACTCCCAGAGCATCAAGCCCTTCGTGGAGAGTTTCCTGCACATGGTGGCCAAGCTGCTGGAGTCCAGAGAACCGGACCTGCAGGTTCTGGGAACGAACTCGGTAAGCAGCGCCGCCACCGGGTCACACACGGGTTTTCACCAGAACTCACTCTGAACTCGCTGCTGTTTGGAGAGACGGAAACTCGACTTCTGTCTCCTTTACGTCTCCAGGAGATTCAGAAACCAGTAGAGATGGAGCTTAAAGGAAATCAGTTTATCATTTTAATACAGATAATAAATGACTTTACTACCCAAACCTACGCCCATGTGCCAAACATTGAATGAAAAATAAAATATAAGAATTTTCCCAAGTTATTTTATTATATGGTGACACTAATTAATACTATCATTATCAACAGTATTAATTTAACATATTTAATTATTTAATTTTATTTCCAATACTGTTGTTTTTTATTTGTTTTTTATGTTTCATTATTTGTTTTTTATTTTTTTCCCATATTGTGTATTTTGTTAGGGATTTATTTATTTAGACAAATAAAAAAATGTGTAAATAAAGGACAAAACAGGATGAAGCAAAGTGAAAATAGGAAAAATCAATGTATGATTAAAAAATGACAGTAAAATACGACATGCAGAATATGGAAAAACTAAATATAATGTAATAAAACATGACGGTAAATAAATGTTTAAATAAAAAACGTAAATTGAAAAATTAGAAATATTAATAATGAAATAAAAAGGGGAATTAATAAAAAGATTTGAAGTGAAATGCAAAAATTAACTGGAGATGATGTTGAATTAATACTGTTAAAAATGATGAATATTAACTTCTATTCAATCTGTGTAACCAAATAAGTTAAAGTTCAGATTTTTTTTTTTGGTGCAATATTAGCAATATATTTATCTCTTGCCAGTTTTGGCAGGATTAGCCCTCCATATCCTGACCAGGAGCAGCAGAGACGAAAACATGGAGGACCGTTTCTCTAGAGCGTTTATGGATCAGAACCACCTGATGATGATCCATTAATCTGGACATTTTATGGAATCGGTTTAAGTTTATTTGCTGCTTCAGAGCAGATCCAGGATTCAGGAGAGACGATGCTGCTGCTGCAGCATTGATGGTGCAGCAGCAGCATCGATGCTGCAGCATCTGGAACAACCTTACTGACGTTCCTGCTCTTTATGGTGCAGAAATCGAACTGCTGCTGGCAGTAAAAAACAAAAGCAGGCTGTGAAATGAAGTTTCATTTTTAATTAACTGTCTTTTAGCAGATATTAAAATCTTTTTCTGTCCCTGCATCAGGGAGAAGCGTGGCTGCTTTCGCTGTAATTGCGCTTTAATGTTTGCCTGCATGTGCTGCGCAATAAATCCCAGAAAATATGAGCTCATAATCCACAAAGTTAGCTATTAAACTCAAACTTATTACCTTATTTTTATGAAATGGGCTAAATATGTGAGTTGGCTGCAGCCCAGAGGCTGGTGGAGGTTTAAGAGCTAATTCTGCTCTCATTGTGGCCCAATAACGCAGCGAGAGGAAACGGTGAAATCATCCTGAAGCTGCTTCCAGATCTGTTTCCTTCCCTCTGAAGGTGAAATAAAAGTAGTTTCCTCTGGGTTCTGTCATCCCGGCTATTGCTGGCGCTCCATCTGAGCCGCGGGTTCAGATGGACCTGCATTATTTATGTGTGGTATTTATTCTGTGACGGAGGAGAACGATGCAGAACCGTGGCAGTTAGATTGTCCTCCTGGTGGTCGCAGCAGATCTGCTTCACGTTGTTCTGTCGGATCAGGAAGACTCGGCTGCTTCCAGTCCATCACCACCAGTTTACTTTATTTTATATGACAAAACTCCGAGATCGCAGCAACAAATATGAAGTTTAGAAAAATACATGAGCTAAAGACATGGAAGCAGAAAACCTGAAACTGCAGCATCCAAATGGAGAAATAATATCAGCTGAGTTTCTGTTACAAATGTGCACAAATATTCTGCTGCTGATAAAAAAAAACAAACACAATTTCGCATTTGCTGTGTTTCCATTAAATAAGACATTAAATTAAAATCAGGTGCATAAGTTTGTTTGGCAATAAGTCATTAAAAATCATGGCGGTTGTGCGTGATGTATTCATGATTCAGCCACGGTGCTCATCAGCCAATCAGAGGAGACGTCTGCGTCTCATCCAGGCGTTGGAGCGTCAAGCCCCGCCTACTTTGCTGAGGCTGCGGCGGTTTGGGGAAATTGGTCGGCCATTTTACATTAGAGAGATGGCTTCAACACATTGGAATGAAACGGCATTTTCTGAACTGAGATGCTGAGAGCTGAAAAAACAGACAATCATCCTCCCACCACTTCCTGTGGTCTTTGTCGTTTCTGCCAGTAGAAACATCTGTGGTTGATGAAAAGTGTCTCCATTGCAGTTTTGTGAAATAAATTTCGATGTGACTGAAAAACCACCTCATCCTAACCCAAAAACGTTTCATCAAAGAACATGAGTTTCTTTTCAATGCCATGTTTCCATTCAGCAAATTTATTACTTTATCTCCAGTTTGTAATTCCACAGCAAATGGAAACGCAGCTGCTGTTTGGTTTGCTGCCAAGTGGATGAAGGTCCAGGTTCACCGTTAAGCTTCAGAAGTCAGAAATGTTCCTGTCGATGTCGCAGCCAAAGAGTCAGTTTGCACTACGGGCGATGCATGTGGGCGCCACGCAGAAAGGGCGCCAGATCTATGGCAGCTGTTTGTGTAAATGATGTGATGCATCCTTCACATGCAAGATGATGATGTTTAACTTTTCTTTGGATGTAATTTCATCACATCTGTTCTTTTTATTCTGTTTTTGCACGTTTTACCTTCTTTAAGATAAAACACGAAGTTCTGCACGTCTGCTGCTGTTTTTACTGCTTTATATAAAAGACATTTATGACTAGAACTGTTGTGAGCAAAGCTTACATTTCAATCTGTGCTGCAAATCTGTTGTTTTTAAAGTTTTCCGATGAGAAGGTGACCCAGGAGAGGGAAAACAAGCCCTGGTGGGAGGAGGTGATAAATCACTCCGCAGGCAGCAGAACAATGATTCTTATTAAAACCCAAACATCCATCTTCACTTTACTCCTACCAGCTTATGTCCAGGGCTCAGATTCAACTTCTGATGCATCTCTGCCGTTTCCTGCATCTTCTTTCATCTGTCTCTGTTGAGACGCATGAAACCTCAGAGTCCAGCGTTTAGGGACCTAATAACCTGACGTCGGTCGATGGGTTTGGGAATAAAACATTTTATGATTTTGCTCCAAAAATCCCAAAATAAAATCAGAGTTCTGGTTTTCTTTCCATAATGAAACCATAAATTACTAAGATTAAAATTTTAGCCTCTGCAGTGACTCTGCCATGAACTCTTGATGAAACTCGTTTGTTTCCTTCTGTTGCTTCGTCCTCCTGTGGTTTCACACATTTCCACTCGGTTCACAGATGGTCAGCACAGTGTCGGCTCAGTTATCGCAGCTATTATTAGAAATCTTTGTTTCTGATGTTTCAACCCGTTTCTGAACCAAACTCTCTTAAACTGTAACTAATGTATGAAAAAATTCATTGATTCTGAATTGAGTATGTAAAAAATCACTTTAGCATCAGGAGAATTTACAAATATAAGAGTTACATAATTATAGATCAGGATAATTGTTGAAAACACAATTTTACAATAAAACCTTGAACTTTTAATATGAAACTCATCTCAGTTATCGACAAATTTATAATTAGCGAAAGTTTGTGTAGTAATGCCCAAACTTTACTGCAACTTACTGGGAACTTACCTGAACCTTGTGGGTTATTGTGCAAACCCCCCTAAAGCCGCCGGGCTCCTCTCCCCCTAAAGCCGCTCCTCCCAAAGTGTTTTCAGATCTTATTCCTGTTCTGTGTTTCCACCTCTATATGTTAAAGGTTATAATCCTTTAGAAGGTTGAAGCCAAAATGCTAATATTAACCTGGATTTTGAGGAAATTAAAAACTTTGACTAAGCCAAAACACTTGTGGAAGTTTTTGTCAGCTGTAAAAAGTGACTTAATTTGTGGGCGGCGGGGGTTGTTTCACGTCCCGGTGTGATGAAAATGGGTAAACATTTCTCGTTTGAAAAGCGTGATTATCTCAGCGTGAGAACATGGACCAGATTAAACGTCCCTGTTGCTGGTAGACGATCGAGCAAAGCTGTTTTCCTGCTGAGATAATTCTGGGTTTGAGTGAAAATGTCAAGAGACTCGTTTTAAAATCCTCCATAATTGGCAACTAATCTTTTTCTCAAATATTTTTAATGTTTGTCACAACTAAAATCTATATTAATGTCTGAGATGGAGAGCACAGAATCCCCCTGTAGGACATGAAACGCCTCAGATAATTAGTTCCCGTTTCATTTCTTTCAATCATTTTTCATTTTCAGGTTTTTGAACCAATTCTGGGAGTAAAAACTTTCAGATATCTTTATTTTGGCTCTACTTGCTGCCTGCGAGTCGAGTTTCAGCCCGGCTGATGGGAATGTGGCAGGCTGGTCAGTGTCTCTGTCGCGGCTCGCTGCCTTTGACTTTGAGAACGGATGCTGCTTCGTTTTACCAATTAGTCTGCATAATAAAGTTAAAACCAGCCCATTTCACTCGGCGGCCTTAATGTCTTCTCATTTCAGAGCGAGCGCCTCGCTTCACTCGGGGGAAACAAACAGAATCGTTTGAATCGGAGGCGTAACTGCTCCGCCGCCAGGCATCCAGCAGGCCTGAATTATCCTCACTGCTGCTCTGATGATGAGACCTGGACCAGAACCACCTGGAGAAAAGCCCTCAGTGAGGGGCTCCTTTAGCTCAGACCTGGGTTTTACCGCGTTAACTGCTGATGAAAGTCGGAGAGCTGCTGCTTAAACCAACATTTATGGAGTAACAGTTGGTCTGAAATGGGGGAGAGGAGCTGAAGTTGCTGCCGAGTCGAAGCGACACAAACGGGCCTGAAACGAAACACGAAGGTTGTGATCCATAAAAAACAAACTTCATGTGATTTATTAGAACCACAACTCGTCATGATTCCTCAGGTTTTAGTTTCCGCTGGAAGATTTGGTTCCTGATCAAACTTGACTCCTTTAATAGATTTTTAATTTTCTTTATCAGACGTTAAATGGACCTGGTCCCGCCGCGGTCGGGGCCTTGTTCCGGACCTGGACCTGGCTCTGGTCCCGCCAGACCAGGACCAGGTTCCGGTCCCGCCAGACCAGGACCAGGTTCCGGTCCCGCCAGACCAGGACCCGCCAGACCAGGACCAGGTTC